TCGAACCCAGTCCCCATGTGAAAAGAGTAAAAGTCAACGCTCTGCCGAAAGTCGTGGGTTTTCCCCGGGTACTCCGGTTTCCTCCCACAGGGAAAGTTGACAGGGTGGATTAGGTAAAAAAGGGCCCACAGTAATTGGCATATGCTGTTGTGGTGACCCTGCCCTAGTTGGCAAAAGCTAAATAAATAAATAAATAAATGCAAAATAGTCTGGTATTAGACAGAGCAAAATATTGAGCTTTGAAATGAATTTGTGAATTGGGTCTTAATGAGTTTACACATAACACAGGGAGACAGCACGGTAATCTATCAAAGTTGTCCACTCTCTTTCACAAGTAAAATGATCTGGTGAACATTAGACTCTGGTGTTAGACAAGGTAAAATAAAAAAGTACTGAAAGTTGAGCACATTCATCTTAACGAGTTAGCATGAAATGTGAGTAGAGAGTCTGGTTAATTTGAATACCATCACATAGTTATGTTTCATATTTGAAAAACATGGATAGTATTCCTGGCAATACACTAAGGCTAACAGATTTTAATACATTGACTGGTGCAAGACCTCTCACAATTAAAAAATCAATTTTAATTTAAACAATAACATGAATAACTAGAGGGCACTCAGAGACTGCATACCTCTGCCCCCATTGAATTTCGGTCGTGTGAAATGCAACTAAGACAATAGATAATGAAGGCTGAAGCTTAATGAGGCTTATCATCTCATTATTGTCTATAGTACTGCGTGCATACATTATACACGTCCTAATTATGCATTCAGTGAGTTTTTTTTTAATTGACCGGGAAAAGCAAGACAAAATTTTGTTCATTTCTCATGCAATTTTCAACCAAATTTTAATCTGTTCTTTCTTAGCCGATGGGAAATGCATTCAAAAAATTTCGTATGAATATGTTTGGTATTTCTTGAGTTATCGTGCTCACAGACAAACACACACACACACCTCCTGGCGGAGGTAAATATCAGAATCTTAGTAAGGTTGCTGCTATTTGAGCAAGTGGTTAAATTTTCAATAGGCATGCATTAATGGCTTCCAATTAATCTGGCATATACAGTTGGCACTTGGCATATACAAATATATTAAACAATAAACATGGATAAGTCTAATTCAAATATAAAACTTTTATAGTAGCATTTGTTGAAGTATGAATGCTATAAATATATTTATATCAGCATTCTAATTCCATTTATATTGTCGCGGCAAATTCAAATTTTAAACCGAACCACATGCTCGAATTTCGCAAACGAAGATTGGAGGTATTTCCTTTATAATTTGCTATATTATAAACAAAATATGAACTTATTCTCACCTGAACATTATGCAAACATCGCTGATGTATTACTAGTGAAAATCCAGTTGAATCTCATCAAAAATAGTTATATTTTGAACATAAACATTCACAAACTCAAAATATAAAAATTTTGAAAAAATATTGAAGGTGTGATGATCTATCCCTTGATGCTTTGCGCGCGTGACAAGAAAACTAGACACCAGTCTGTCAGTCGCGCATATTGCGGTAATTACCTCCGCCAGGAGGTTATGTAATCATCTGGGTTTGTGTGTGTGTGTGTTTGTCTGTGAGCACGATAACTCAAGAAATACCAAACATATTCATACGAAATTTTTTGAATGCATTTCCCATCGGCTAAGGAAGAACTGATTAAAATTTGGTTGAATGTGGTTAAAAATTGAAGGAGAAATGAACAAAATTTTGTCTTGCTTTTCCCGGTCAATTAAAAAAAAACTCACTGAATGCGTAATTAGGACGTGTATAATGTATGCACGCAGTACTAAGAAGACAATGAGATGATAAACCTGATTAAGCTTCAGCCCTAATTATCTATTGTCTTAGTTGCATTTCACATGACCGAAATTTAATGTGGGCAGAGGTATGCAGTCTCTGAGTGCCCTCTAGTTATTCATTTAATCTTAGAAAATAAATAGTCCCAGTATTAAATTCTCTTATCAATAAAGTCTATGAATAAAATGCGATATAGGAATAGTGTAATTACCTCCGCCAGGAGGTTATGTAATCATCTGGGTTTGTATGTGTGTGTGTGTGTATATGTGTGTGTTTGTCTGTGAGCACGATAACTCAAGAAATACCAAACATATCCGTACAAAATTTTGTGAGTGCATTTCCCATCGGCTAAGGAAGAACTGATTAAAATTTGGTTGAATTTGGTTAAAAATTGAATGAGAAATAACAAAAGTTTGTCTTGCTTTTCCCGGTCAATTAAATAAAACTTTATACTGAATGCGTAATTAGGACGTGCATAATATATGCACCAGCCATTCAAATTCTAATAATAACAATAGATTACTTCAATATTTTGCACGTAGGCGGAGGTATGCAGCCTCTGAGTGCCCTCTAGTTGTATAAGAAATTAAAATTCCTATAAGAATTCCTATAGGATTTGAAAATGGTGAAAAAATTCCTATAAGAAATAGAAATTCCTATAGGAAGAATGAGTTTATATTTCGTAAATTATCTTTTCTCTGTGTTTTTATATAAGTAAAGTTCTTATGGGTAATAAGAATGTATCAGGCCATATTGGTATAGGCTATGAATTTTTTCCACCATTTTCCAATCCTGTAAGAATTCCTATAGGAATTTTTATTTCTTATAGGAATTTTTTTCACCATTTTCAAATCATATATGAATTCCTATAGGAATTTTCAAATCTTATAGGAATTTCTATAGGAATTTTCATTTCCTATAGGAATTCCTTTAGCCATTTTCCAATCCTATACGAATTCCTATATGAATATGTTTTCCTATAGGAATTTTTTTCACCATTTTCAATTCCTATAGGAATTCCTATAGGAATATTTAATGCCTATTGGAATTCCTATAGGAAATTACAATGCCTATAGGAATTCCTATAACAGCTGGGAAATTTGTTGTCGCTGTGCAGAGAAATTGCTGGCGCACGCAATATTTTACAAAAATAAAAAATTCGAAAATTTGAAAAAACAACACGAGTGAAATTTCAACTTATGATTTTGCATTTTTAAGACAGCGATCAAGGAAATTAAATTGTTGGAAAAACTTCACTAACATCTCAAGTATGGAAAGCATCTACATTACCAGAAATTTAATTGTGGATTGATTCAAAATTCAGGCTATAAAGTTACATAGCTAGGAGTTGGCTTTTGTGCTCTTCGAATATCAGTTTTCATTCGCGGATTACCATAACTTGTTGGCCTCATGGGTGCCAAAATCGACATAAACGTAAACTGCTAACCAAGAGTTATAAAACAAATAGCTTTTCAAAAAGATAAACTTTATTCAGTCAAAAGGATGAGGGTAAATAAACATGCTACTGCATGATAGTGATTTCGAAGCAACTTTGTCGCATATATTTTAAAAAGTGTGATGAATCAAATTTTGCTTTTTGCACATGAGGACCCGCACGACCAAAAATATGCAACTTTTGCGTCTTGAAGACGCAAAAGTCCGGAAATCAAATTACATTATCTCATTAAATTTAATGGAAAAAACTGTTATCAATCAGTAATTAGTTCACTAGTTCGCAATGGGTGCTCTGTTTTAAGATCTGTTATTAACAAGTTATTAGTTAAAAATGCACACATAGGGAGGGAAATTTGATCAGATAATTAGAAAATATTTAAGACTTGCTTCTGTATTAACAAGAATTAATATACAGAGAAAAGGGTGTCAAATGTTTATTCTGTCAACGCCATTCGTTCTCTCTCAGTGGGTTTCTAGTTCTATAGACTATATGCTCTATACTATGTTTATTACAGTATTATAGTACAGGCATATACAGGGTGTATAAAAAAAAACTGAACAGATTTGAAATTGCTCTCAATTTCGCAAAACACCTATTTGTATCTGGTTTTTTATATATATAGCTTCTTTGGGTACTTATAATGTAAAATAATGAAAAAAATTTCTCAAACTCAAATTCTGTGAACCAGGGGGGGGGGTGTCTTTCCCAACAAACTAAAAATGGCTCGCGCACAAAATTTAAAAGCTGTAATCATATTTTGAGTTAATAGATTGAAAATTTGTCAGGTTTTTAATTACTGTACAAAATTTTAGAAAATTTGGTTTAGTTTAAGCCCTTTAACTATTCATTTTGTTCTAAAAAGTCAGCCTTTCGCATGCTTAATTAATGCCTTTACCTAATTTGCATATTGCTGACATATGCAAATTAGGCAAATGCATTAATTAAGCATGCAAATAGCTGATTTTTCGGGAAAATTGTAACTTTGCGTGAATAGTTAAGGGGGCTTAAACTAAACCAAATTGTCTGAAATTTTCTACAGTAATTAAAATCCCGACAAATTTTCCATCTGGTAACTCAAAATATGATTGCAGCTTTTAAATTTTGTGCGCGAGCCATTTTTAATTTGTTGGAAAAGACACACCCCCCTGGTTCACAAAATTTGAGTTCGAGAAATTTTTCTCATTATTCTACATTATAAGTACCCAAAGAGGCCATAAATATAAAAAACCGGATACAAATAGCTGTTTTGCGAAATTGAGAGCAATTTTAAATCTGTTCAGTTTTTTTTGATACACCCTGTATAGTGGCCGCTTTAACTAATTTGGTTCGCTTTTTCGCCAAACTAATTACTTTGAATGTCCTTGCTGTATATTCGTGAGAGTGGTTAATTTCCTCAATGAGTATCTGTGTCTCTTTATGCTATGGTTTTCCTTTAGTTCAGTAATAGGCTCCGTGCAGTATAATAATACAGTATGCAAGAAATGTCATGTTTGACTGCAACACATATGTTTCGCAAACAATGTTTCCCTTAACTCTTATAAGATTGGCTTTTACGGCAGACCGCTATAACGGTTAACCGCAAATTATTTCGCAATTTTCATGGACAAATTGCCGTAAAACTTCGAATTGTCTGGTGGTATTTGCTTTTGAAGATACTTATATTACCAAACGGAGAACTTATTAGGGCCATTAATTTCTAGTTATATGGGAGAAAATGCGCGACTTAGATAAGACGCAAACACACTTGTATAAATGGTCTAATTCTAGTAAGTCGCGACTAATTGTGGACCAGTCTAAACCCTAATTGTTCTTATGTAAGTCGCAATTAACTAAAATTTGAAGTGAATTTGACCATTTATACGAGTGTGTTCGCGTTTTATGTAAGTCGCGACTTATTTTCTTCCGTATAAATGGCCCTATTGACTATTGAGCAAGTGATTGAAATGATTCACTACAATGCAATGCTATAATATGCTGAAAAATAATTATCAATTATGATACGACTTCCAGCTTCAACTGATTTATTAAAGATGACTACATCTTCCTAATCTATCATCAAAAGATGACTGCATCTTTCTGACACAAGAGCGTCCACTAAAAGAATTCCCATAATATTTATACTGTACAACAGCAGCGTATTTTCAGTTTGTGTCTTGAATAGTAACTTGTGATAAAGTTATAGAATTTATTATACTTTTTATTTAGATATAATATGCTGTGTAATAATTATGATACGACTTTCAGCTTTAACTGATCAAGCAAAGATGACTACATCATCTTAATCTGTCAGCAAAAGATGACTACATCGTTCTGACACAAGAGCGTCCACTAAAAGAATTCCCATAATTTTTATACTGTTCAACAGCAGTGTATTTTTGTGTCTTGAATAGTAACTTATGATAAAATTATAGAATTTATTATACTTTTCATTTAGATATAAGTTGCTGTATAATAATTATGATACGACTTTGAGCTTCAACTGATTAAGCAAAGATGACTACATCTTCTTAATCTGTCAGCAAAAGATGACTGCATCTTTCTGACACAAGAGCGTCCACTGAAAGAATTCTCATAATTTTTATACTGTACAACAGCAGTGTATTTTTTATGTCTTGAATAGTAACTTATGATAAAATTATAGAATTTATTATACTTTTCATTTAGATATAAGTTGCTGTGTAATAATTATGATACGACTTTGAGCTTCAACTGATTAAGCAAAGATGACTACATCTTCTTAATCTGTCAGCAAAAGATGACTGCATCTTTCTGACACAAGAGCGTCCACTAAAATAATTCACATAATTTTTATACTGTACAACAGCAGTGTATTTTTTGTGTCTTGAATAGTAACTTGTGATAAAATTATAGAATTTATTATACTTTTCATTTAGATATAAGTTGCTGTGTAATAATTATGATACGACTTTGAGCTTCAACTGATTAAGCAAAGATGACTACATCTTCTTAATCTGTCAGCAAAAGATGACTGCATCTTTCTGACACAAGAGCGTCCACCGAAAGAATTCTCATAATTTTTATACTGTACAACAGCAGTGCATTTTTTATGTCTTGAATAGTAACTTATGATAAAATTATAGAATTTATTATACTTTTCATTTAGATATAAGTTGCTGTGTAATAATTATGATACGACTTTGAGCTTCAACTGATTAAGCAAAGATGACTACATCTTCTTAATCTGTCAGCAAAAGATGACTGCATCTTTCTGACACAAGAGCGTCCACTGAAAGAATTCTCAGTAATTTTTATACGGTACAACAGCAGTGTATTTTTTATGTCTGGAATAGTAACTTGTGATAAAATTATAGAATTAATGGTACTTTTAAACTTCACTTCAATAATATACGTTGCTGATTAAGCAAAGATGACTACATCTTCTTAAGTGTCCGCTAAAAAATTCTCATTAATTTTACAACAGCAATTTAATTACTTACTATTTTAATGCCTCAAGGTTACAGTATGCAGTATAGGCAAGTATATATACTTATGCCAAATATACACCAATGTACGACTGGCTTTCTACCATTCGACATCAACTAATCTCGTTAATTGGGTAACTGTATTTATTGTCGTGCCTAATTTATATAGTAACTTGTTGGAAGACTTGCAAAATCTGTGGTTTTCGTAAATATTTAAATTAGAAATTGTTAGTTTTGTTGTACCTGCTATACTGGCAGTATAGTATTAGTATCACTATAAGTAGTTTGGGGGCTATAGCCCCTCCCCATTCCCCCCCAAAAAGTAGCCTCCCACGGTCCGCCGGCTCTGGTTAATATAACGATAGAGATGGTTTTCGCGGGCATCAATATGTTTTTGTCACGACTCAAACTCATCTTACGATTATAATATTAGAGGGCATTTTACTAGTACCATTGACCAGGCGAGTTTGCACATTTTTAACCATCAAAATACGACGCAATGGCCAATAATATTATAATAATTAACTATCCTGGGCATTCGCCACCTAGATTAAACCTTTGAATTCAACTGAAGTGTATTACTATGCTGGCTATATGTTAGCACTATATATAACTGCAACCTTATAACTTCAATTAACCTGTTTCCTCTTTTACCTGTATAGCCGTTTTCGGAACTTAATAATAAAATGCGCTAGCTTTATAGCCCATGTAAGTCAATATGCCAGTTGGACTGGTATTGTACAAAAATACGCCGTACTTTAGCTTATATTTCTAACGAGATTATAGTACGGGGATGTGACAATTAAAAACATTTCCTATTGTTTTCTTTGTTTACAACAGTTACTTGATGTAGACTGGGTTTAATATACGTAAATTGCTTAAATTCAATATTTATTGACAGGCCGAGTATAAGTTTCTATAAAAATAGAGTATCAAAATGTCAACAAGCAGTATCAAATATCAACATACCCCAGTGCGTCCTGGCTGAGTTAGTTTGAGAAATGTCTCGGCCATGCTGAATCGGATATCTTCGCTCTGACTTTGAGATTTGGGCGGGAAATTCAACTGATTGTAACGCATTCTCAATTTTATTTAGACGTTTCTTGCGCGTGCAGAGAGAACAAATTAAACGTCTCTTGTTTGTCGTTTTTTCCTGTAGAAGACGGTTATAAGGATTCATGCGAATGCGCCTCCGGGACTAATTGCCTCATGGTTACTGTTAGTGTTTGTAGCTTCAGAATTGTATCGGGCTGCTGAATTACTCTAAGTACAACGTGTTGACTATCTTGTTGATGGTCTGATAGGCGCTGGATTCCTGCCGTTCTCTTCTTGGATTTCGTTGTCTAATCGCCAGAAAGAATATACGCTTTCTGCCGTCGTCCATTGAACCAACGGTAGGATGGCTGTTTGCCATTGCGGTCTTGAAGATCAGCGATATTGATCTTCCGTACTCCGCTTGAGAACAGTTGAAAGACTGCACTTTCATCAGCCCTTCTATTCGATTTGGATAACCGCAAAGCAAATCGTGATTAGCGTACCAAGTCTTGTTATAGTCCAAGCTATGCGAATAATATATAGTCGAAAGTACATTGCGCAAATTGCTTCGACTTGTCACATTGCCATTGCTTCGCGGTACTATTCAAATTCTCGCGCGTTTGCCTATAAATCTCAAATGATGGCGTTGACAGATGTGTTCAACTATTAGGATTTATTTAACTTTTACTAATATAAAACTGAACTTATCAATATTTAAACCGTCCATAAAACTGATCATCAAATTACACTTCCACCTTGTCCTATAGTGAGTTAATTTAATTTATACATGTCAACCCTCAAACGCCTTGCCACATTATACCATGGTAACGAACATATTTTGCCTTAATTTTTTCACACATCGTGCGGGTCCTCAT